TGAAGTTCAGAATTTACCTGGTAATTGCTGATTCCAAGGCTGTTGGTGGGTTAATATTTGCCTTATTTTGATGATTTCTGATAGCAATTGAATTCCTTCAGGTCCAATCTATTGCATAACTCCATTAAAATATTTTTTTTCAGTTTTTGTGTTGTAATTTGATGTGTTTGAGTTTTGTTTGTTGGTGAAATTTGCATTATAAAATTCATGCATTCAAAGTATGGCTGAAGTGCTTAAGCTGTCTTTACTTTTGATTTTGCATGAGGCTGATGTTTTTGAAACAAGCACACAGTGCAACAAACATCTCTGCTTATTCCAGGGCTGGCAGGTTTAAGGATGATGATCACTCAGTTTTCTTCAATTGAGGCAGAAAAGTGTGAGAGCACCTGTGCAGCTCAGAGAGCTGCTGTTCCCAGCCTTTCCTCCCTCTCCCTGTGCCTGCAATGGCTTTGGGAGCTGTGTCCAATCCATGCTGGGGAGGAGGAGCAGGCAGGAACCTGTTTGTGGTGCTGGGGTGGGAGGTGCAGCTTTCCCTGGTGCATAATTAGAGAGCTGAGAGCTTTGGGTCAGCTGCAAGCCAGGCTGGCTGTGGGGAGAGTCTGTGTGCTAAAACTGCATTTGGAGCGATCCCTGGGCTCACAGTGCTCAGCTTGAGGGGCTCTCATCTTTGTGTGGGAATGTGGCAAAACCCACAGAGGGTTCAGGGCTGGCTGCAGAAATGGGGTAAAAGGAGCTCTGGGACAGGGGCTGTGTGCTAAAACAGCATTTGGTGTGATCCCTGGGCTCACAGTGCTCAGCTTGGGGGGCTTTGGTCTTTGTGTGGGAACATGGCAAAACCCACAGAGGGTTCAGGGCTGGGGAGGGCTTGTTCAGGCTGCAGAAATGGGGTAAAAGGAGTTCTGGGAGAGGGTCTGTGTGCTAAAACAGCATTTGGAGCGATCCCTGGGCTCACAGTGCTCAGCTTGAGGGGCTCTGATCTTTGTGTGGGAATGTGGCAAAACCCACAGAGGGTTCAGGGCTGGCTGCAGAAATGGGTTAAAAGGAGCTCTGGGGCAGAGTCTGTGTGCTAAAACAGCATTTGGTGTGATCCCTGGGCTCACAGTGCTCAGCTTGGGGGGCTCTGATCTTTGTGTGGAAATGTGGCAAAACCCCACAGAGGGCTCAGGGCTGGCTGCAGAAATGGGGTAAAAGCAGTTCTGGAGGGGTGGGTTTGGAGAATGGGGTAAATGGAGGAGCTTCCAGTGTGCAAGGCTCTAATTTAGTGCTGCCATTTGACAAGAAATACACAGAATTCTGAGTGGCATCATCCCTGGGTGCTTTGGAGCAGGTAGAGAGCTGCTGTGGTGCAGGGCATGGATTCCAGCTCACAGACAGGCACAGCTCACTGGTGGGTTCCTGCAGCCTTTGAAGCTGCCTGGCCATGCAGAGGTTATAAAAAGAGAGCCAGCTGATGTTGCAATGTAAGCACTGCCCCTGGAGTGGAAAGACTGTCCTTTGGCATGCTCCCTGCTGCTATTTTTACCTATTCCAGTAAGATCTGCCCTTGTGATGTTCAATTACAGGACAGTACCTGGAATAATTTTCTGTTACAAAGTGCTGTATGTGCTGAAGAAAATGTTCAGTAAAATTGGGCAGATTGACACTAAAACTGTCTTACACTGAAAAATATTTTTTCTTTTGTCAGCACAAAACTGTGGCTACAAGAGAGTCTTTCAGGTTTTTTTTTCAATATTTTATGTCTGGCAGAGTTTTTATTTTTTTAAATTTTAGGTTCCTTTGTATATTGATTATTTGGTTTTTCTCAATTTCTCATGTGGAGACCTTAAACAGGCAGTGTGATTTTTAAAGATTGGGATTAACAGTGTAGCCCAGAAATCAGTTTTTTGTCTTAATTTCTAAAAGACCAGCTGATGTTGACTAAATTTTATTTTGTATTCCTACACACTGTAGGAAATTAATATTTGTTTCTGGGAGTAAATTAACAGTGACGAAATGCTGTATCTATCCAAATATTTGTGGTGGATGCAGGAGCAAACAGCAAGAATGCCCTGACAGTGACACAGGGGGGGTTCTGTGGCACAGGGATCCAGTGGGGATGTGTGGCTGCTGAAATGTTTGACATTTGGGATTTCCTTACCTTAAATACAAGGTGTATTTTGTAAAATCATCAATCCATGGTGTGGCTGCTGAAATGTCTGACATTTGGGATTTCCTTACCTTNTTTGTCACTTGGAGAATGACTTCAAACAGCCTTTCTCATGAAAGTGATGAGCTGCAGGAAGAAAAAGATTTCAAGAAAGTTTTTAGAAATATACATGAAAGCATCCAGCTGCCAGTGGATTATTTGAGCACGGCATAAACATAAATCCAGTATCTGGTAATGATTATGTTGCAGAGATATGCTTGTAATTAATTTAAAGAGAAAAGCAAATTTTTTTCTGGAAGAGGCAAACTTAAGAAGAACATAGTTATGAAGGCATCATTTAAAATAAAGGAGGAAAGATTTTACAATTGAATTTCTCTTCAGAACAGTGTTTCAAGCATCTTTTCACTGGAGTGAGTTGGTGTGGATGTTGAGGGAGCTGAGTGTAGTGAGTAAAAATGGATTTTTGGGAGAAAATGGATTATTGGGAGAAAAATACCCAAAGGGAATGAATCTGCTGTGCACATTGACCTGCTCAGGTGGGCTCCCACCCGTGGCCTTGCTCTGCTCTTGTGCCCACCAGGGTTCTGGGTGAGCCTCGTGTGTGGGTGAGCAGTGTTGGGCTGTCACTGAATGTCCCTGCTGTCAGCCCCAGGCTGCTCACTCGGTGCCTTGTGAACGCTCCCCTCTCCTCCCTGAGCTGCTGCAGTTCCAAGGATGGTTTTGTATTGATTCATATCAATTTCTTTGCACTGGAGGGCAGGAGTGTCGCTGGAAATCAAGGCCTTTGTCGGGGATGAGCCATTTGTGGGTGAGGGGAGACTCAGACACTCCATATGAGGGATAAGCAAATTCCATTTATTGAAGAGAGCATCAGACACTTATACAGGAAATAATAAGCTTATGAATATTCTGTAAGCCAAGCAATCTATTGGTTAAACTATACCATGAACTCTTCCTCATTCCTTAGGGGTTCCATCTCTCTTTTCTCATGTCTCTCTCACTGTTTGTTATCCTACCACAGCTAGGCCTCAAGGACTTGCTATCAACACAGGTGCAGGACTTGGAATCAGCCACAGCTTTGTAATTTCCCTTTCTCTAGCAGCTAAATTCCCAACACAGGAGGAAGNGTAAAATCATCAATCCATGGTGTGGCTGCTGAAATGTTTCACATTTGGGATTTCCTTACCCCAAATACAAGGTGTATTTTGTAAAATCATCAATCATAGTTCAGAATTGACCAAAACCTGAAGCTTTTGTGCTGGTTCTTGGTGCATTTAGGAGTAAGTTTGGGGCAGAACCTTTGCCAGGCAGTGCTTTGACACTGAGGTGTGATGAGTGATGAATTTGTGTGCTGGCCTTGCTCCTTGTGCTCCTCAGAGCAGCTCAGGTGCAAATCCTGCAGGCAGGAAATTCCTGCAGGACTCAGGGATTGTCCTCTCCCTCTGCTCTGCCATTGGCTCATTGAACAATTCCAGTCAGATTTCATTGAATCTCACATCTGCACTAAATCTGTGCAGATTTAAATTTTGACAACTCATTCCTTAAACCCTTGTGTTTGCCAGTTCTGCTAGCAGATGTTTTTACTGATTTTTTTTGTCATGTGTCTCTTTATCTGTCATGAAAAATAAGTAATTTTCCTGCTTTATAACTATTGCTGTGGTGGCAGATAGAAATACTGCACCTGCTTCTTCAGCCCATCACACTTGTTTTATGCTGTGCTGTCTCTTCTTGATTTATGCATGAGATTTCTTTTTCTTCTTGCTGATTTTACTGTAAAAATGCTTTGGGTTTTCATTCTGTAAATGAAATTTCCCCATCAATTTTCTCTCTTTTTTTTTTTTCATGTAACATTATCCATTGCAGTGCCTCATTGCCATCTCTTGTATTTGGTTATAACTAAAGCTCTCACCTTTTCCTGTGGTGGGAGAAAACCTGAATTCCTTCCTTGTCCCCAGCCTCCCTGCTTATCTTTTTCCATGATGGAAAGCATATTTACAGTATTTTCTGTGCCACATTCCTTAGTGTTTGTTGGAGACAGGTGTGCTAGGTGTAACAGGGTAAATCCAGAGTTCAGACTGTCAGTAGATTTTACTTTTAAAATTACTGAACATGGCTCAAGGTGGAGGTCTCAAAGCATTCATCTGGTTTCTTGTTAAGCTTTGAGAGTTTGCTGTTTTGGTAAAATCATTGCAGCTTCTTTTCATTTATTCATTTTAGTTTTTTTTCCCGTTCAAAAGAGAGGATACCTCTAACCAGAAGTGAGCTGCCAATATAAGATCTCTTGATTTTTTAATTGCATTTTTTAGAAAGACATGAGCAATCTGAGACTTCTTGGTCTGGAGAAGAGAAATCTTTGTGGGGATGATCCCATCAAGATTTCTTCAGCTTGCCTAGGAATTCTCCCTGTTACAGTTGCTGCTTTTATGCAGGATACAGAGAGCCTTCAGAGGCTTGGCTGCTCGTTACTGTTTGTTTGTTTTGTCTCCAAGATTTGTCAACATCTGTGAGTCAGCAAGGTGTTTGTCTGAGCGAGGAGCTGACGTCTGAGAAGGGACGATTCAACTCCTGTTTGATTTTAATTTTTACTTCAGTGAGTTTTTAGCTGTAAAAGATTTTTTCTGATATTCTGGAAGAAGAATGAAATGCTTCTGAGCTGGGCAACATTTGGTTGTTGTGCACTTTGTGTCTCTTAGACTGAAATGCTGCCTGAAATAATGAAAGGTGGAAGACCCTGAGAACTCTGAAAGTAAAAGGATGATGATTTATCACTGCTGTAATTTTTTTGTTGTTTATTTGATATGTATATGTTTGTCTATTGAAATGTAAATATCTCCTGGTTTTTTGTCTTCCACAGATGATGTGCTTCATCCTTTTGTCATAGGACTACATTTGCTGAAAGGAAAACTAAAGGTATAAATAACTTTCTCTTGCTATCTTTCCCTTCCTCCTCCTCCTGCCCTTTCTTCCTTTGGACCTTCCCTTCAGGGGGGAACTCAGCTAAGCCCCTCTGTGCTTGGATTCTTGCGCTGCTGCTAAAATCCACTTTTTGTTTTTTGCAAAATGCCACAGAATCGATCTGGAGCTGCAGTTGTTACAGGATTTGCTTTATCAGAAATGTGTATTTAACTTAGCTCTTGCTTGAGTCAGTCTCCCTGGCTATTTACTCTGCAGGGGAAAAGCCCTTCCTCAGTTTAGAACTCCAGCTCTTGATATTTGCCTGTCTTCTCCAAACACCATTTGCCTCTGCACACAAGTGCAGCTCTGCTGGGACTGATCCAGACCTAATGTAAATCTGTCTGAGACATTATCTTCAAACTCTAGCTCTGAAACAACAGGGCTGCTGTGGCACTTGGGTGAGTAAATAAAAACCCACCCAAAGCAGAGCCGTAATTTCATGGGTGTATTTAATAAGATAATGTTAAAATGGAGCATAATTGCTTTTGGAGGCTCTCAGGACAGTAGATGGTTGGCATAGTCTTAAGTATTTTTTGTTGTATGCAGTCTTATATATATATTATATACACACATATAAATATACATATATATTATATACACACATATATATTATACACATATATATACATATATATAATATATACACATATATATTATATACACATATATATATTATGCACACATATATACATATATATTATATACACATATATATTATATACACATATATATACATATATATTATATACACACATATTATACACATATATACATATATATTATATACACATGTATATTATATATACATATATATATTATATACACACATATATTATACACATATATACATATATATTATATACACATATATATTATATATACATATATATTATATACACATATATATTATATACACATACATGTACATATATATTATACACACACACATATACACACACATACACACACACCTATACACACACACATATACACACCTATACACACACACATATACACACACACATACACACACACACATATACACACACACACATATACACACACACACATATACACACCTATACACATATACACACCTATACACATATACACACACACACACANCCTTTCTCTAGCAGCTAAATTCCCAACACAGGAGGAAGGTGGAAGTCATTCAGAAATCACCTCCTAAGCAGCAGCTTTGTCTGTCTGTCCTTCCATGAGAATAATCTGGAGTAAGGCTTGAGAAGTGAAGCCAGAATTTGAGTGTTGTCAGCCAGCCTGTTCATGGCCTGGGTCAGGAGGTGTCTGTGGGGCCCTGGAGCCTCGGGGGCTGCTCTGAATGGCTGCAGGAGGCAGCAGCACCACAGTTTGGGTTTCTCCAACAAACCCCACCTTCCCAGGGGATGCCAGAGCAGGTTCAGCAGCTTTCCAGCAGGGATTCCCTGTCTCTCCCCAGCAGACTGAAGATCTGGTAAACTTCCCTTTCTCTCCCCTCCACCCTCAGGTCTCTTGGCAGGTTTTTGGCAGCTCCAGGCCAGCTCTGACCTCTGTTCCCATCTTTTCCTCAGTGCTGGCTCCTCCCTGAGGTTGGGGAGGAGGAGAGCTGGGGATGGTGAGTGTGGTACATCCATTTCCTAGGGAAAGAACTCCACACCTGTGAGCAAACCTGTCGCAGACATTTTTTCACAGAAGTCCTTTCTTTGGGATTTGTGCATCTTCTGGGAAGCAAAAGCCCCAGCAGAAGAATGTAAACCATTGTTGTGGGCTGCTGTGAAATGTAGCAAATGATCCTGTGATTGGCTCATGCTCCATGTTTACAATTAAGGGCCAATCACAGGAGCAGCTCAGGGACAGATTCCCTGGACACAAAACTTTGTTATAGATTCATGCTGTTCTATTCTTAGCTTAGCAGCTCTATGCAACTTCTCTCCTTATTCTTTTTAGTATAGTTATAATGTATTATATATCATATATCAATAAATCCAACCTTCTGATCAAGAAACAAGATTCTCATCCTTCTCTCACCCCAGCGACCTCCTCAAGTGGCTGTGATACAAACCCACCTCAGCCAGGAGAGGTGGCAAACCCTCAGGGATGGCAGGAGAGAGCAGGGCCCTGCTGGGAGGGGGGGCTGTGCCAGACATGGCCAGTTCTGACTGTTCTGAGGCAAAGATCCTGGGAGAGAAGGATGCAAATGCCTAATTAAAGATAGAACTGGCATTTGGATCTACAGAGGCTCAGAGCAGTTGCTGTCTGTGGTTTCTGTGTGTGTAACAACCCTAAAATACATTGCTGTGATCTGCCCTGGTAGCTGTGCCTCACTGTGCAGGCTCTGGGGAGAGAAGGCTCTGAGAGCAGGGAAGTCACTTTTTGGGGTATTTTTATCTTTTGTCAAAATGCAAGTGTGAATTCTTTGTCATTTCCTGCTTTCTCTGGATTCTGCAGGAAATGTTGGCAGCATATCAAAATATTAAATATAAATGTAATGTTGGGGTGTTCTCAGCTTCTGTCAGCAGGGACAAAGAGGTTTTGGTGGCTGTCCTGCAATTCCTTAGCTCAGCTCAGGAGAAAAATCAAACTGAGCTCCTCTTTTTATTTATTCTCATCTCTTACCTGGAAGGGTGAAACAAAGGAGTTTCCCATAGGGGTTAAGTTCAGAGAAGCTCTCTGGGTTTCATCTTTCCCCTCTTATCTAAGAGTTTATCTCAGTTTTTATTGCTGCCATCTCAGGAGTTACTCTCTCAGCTGCCATGTGCATTATGTGGGTGTTGTAACTGAACACAACTTGTTTTTCACCTTTCTGGTGCCCAGGAACTGTGAGGTGTGTGGTGAACTTGGTTGTATTCCTCACTTTTCAGAATGTCTCAGTGTCTTCCTTATTCCCTTTTTTACATCAAATATCAAACTCTTGCCATTTATGTGCCATAGATTTAAAAATAAAAAAAAAAAAATCCAAGTATCTCAATCCTGTTAGATGATTGGGCATGGAGTTTAAATCTTACTGACATTTAAACATTTTGAACTTTTGGCCAAGTGGAGCTGCAGAGCTGATGGAGTGAGGAGTGGCAGGGATTGGCAGGAGGGGAGGTGAGGCTGTGCTGGCAGGGCAGGAGATATTCAGGAGCTGCCTGAAAGTTCCCTTGGAGGCTGAGGGTGCTGCCTGTGGTGGTCATGACTTCACCTAAACCAAACTTGCTCTGGAACTTTCTTCCATTTCCTTTCTGGCTGCTGCTCACACCTGGCTTGAGGTCTGGACCAAAGGTACTTGCAAACGTGCTGTGAAGGAAAACACTGAAATTCAGCTTATCCTTCTGGGTTGGTTCCTTCACCTCTGTTCCCCACAAATTCCATTCCCTAAATACCAATTAGCAGTGAGATGCCAGAATTGTGTTTATTAAAACCCTGGTGATCCCCAGGTGTCACACACTGGCAGAGCTCACACTGTGCATGTTCCTCACAGATCTGATGAGTGAGTGCCATTTTTATTTTACATAAATACCTGTGTCTGTAGCTGTGGTAAGATAGCCATGTCTTTAAAGTCCAGAAAAGGCCACTTAACATTAGTGGAGATCTTTTTTATCCAAGAATTTTATTGTTTTAACACTTCAATGGCTTTTCTCTGACATAAACGTGAGGAAATGTAGTGGAGGGTTCAAATAATTGGAGGTGCAGAACCACACATGAGGTGAGACTTGAGCAGCTGCTGCCAGGTGTTCAGTCAGTGCTGGATGTTGTGAATGAGCTTGTTGGATTTCTGTACAGGCTTTGGTTTTGCCTAATTTTGAGTAGGATGTTTGAGTATAATTTGGAGTTCAAGCTGCATTGCAGTTGGGATAACTGGGGAGAGAATTCAGTGATGCCTTTACCTGTGTCCCTGCTGTGCAGAAATGTGTGCAGGGAGGGGGCTCTTGGTGTCCCTGCACTGGGAGATGTTTATAAATTATAAAATGGTTTGGGTTGGAGGGACCTCAAAGCCCATCCAATGCNCACACATATATACACACACATAGTCATATATATTGTATACAGTCTTTTGTTGTATACACTCTTAAATTTTTCAGGACATTCTGTTTTTATTTGCCGTTTTATTCAGGTTTCTTGGCAAGTACAGGTGCATGCAAACCATGACAATAAAGAAGGATAAGCCCAGCTATTCCCAGGTGCCTCTTGTTCTGAAATCCAAGGGAGAGCCCTTTGTTCATCTCCAGAGGATCTCTCAAGGTGCTGTGTGCCCTGCCCTGCCCTGTGCCCGTCTGGGTGATGTTTCCAAGCTCTTGGAATGACATTATTGACCTCCACGTGGCACTGCAGGGCTGGCACAGAGCCCACATTTCATCACATCATTTAGTGCTGCAGTGAAAGCAGGGAGCACCTGGGCAGGCTGGGTGTGCAGATCATGAATTCAGCATGACCAGCACCTTGCAGGCTCTGTGTGCACTGAGATGTGAGCACAGCTCCCAGATAATTATTCTTTGATAATCCTCAGGCTGTTCCTTCTCCCCAGGCTCATTCTGGGGTGTTCTCAGTGCTGCTCCCCTCAGTGCTGCTGCATTTCCTCCATGTGGCTGAGGCAGGACAGAGCCAGGCATTCTTTGTTCTCAGTCACTTTGTTGTTTAATCCTTGAGAACTCGTGTGGGAAGGGCATTTGGTGGATTGCTGACATTTGAGTAACTTTTTTTCATCCTTGCTGTAAAGTGGACGAGTTCCAGACAACTGCAAACACAGTTTGGGGCTTTCAGGCTGGGAACAATTGGCATGAGCAAGTGCAGAATGCAAATGGGCACATGGCTGGGAAGGTATGTGCGCTTGATGGAGAGATTTGGGGGAGAAAAAAGGCTTCTGCAGTGTTTTGGCCATGGGAAGAAAGACAAAACACTGGTAGTCCCACTTGTGTCTGCAGAGCAAGGCCTGTGTTAAAGGGATCTCTCTGTAAATCTGCCTTTGGGGGATT